TCAGTTGTTCAGGTAAGAGAGTTTAGCAGCCAGGGAAGCAGCTGCACGTTCGTCTTTGCTGCAGGGACTGGCCCTGCCCCAGGTCCATCACCGTCAGCCCAACCAGCCCCCAAAGCTGTCGACATCCACCCTCTCTGTGCGATTGATCCCCCGTGGAAAAGCATCCCAAGCCAGCACACCAAGGAGCTGTGCTGAGCAGCCATGGGGAGAGGAGACTGTCCTCTCCTCAGCAGGGATCTGAGGTGGGTGGCAAAGGCTGAGAGAGGCCAAGCTGCCATGGAAACAGAAGCATGGAAGAGCTGGGATCAACCGCGTCTGATTGCTCCATGTCCAGCCCTCTGCTGCAGCATCTGAGCACCACAGGGTCCTGAGCACTCTGGGTGGGGACAAAGAGGGGTCACCCAGTACCCTGGGTGCTGGGTCCTATTCCTGGAAAACCCTGGGAGCTCTTCCCTTGGTGAGGAAATGGTCTGTGATGCCAGGGTTGGGCACAGCAAGGAGGATGGAGAAAGGCTCAGGGAAGGAGGGGCAGACCAACTGCTGACCCACCACTGACACTGAGACACCTGGGACCACTGTCCCCAGGGGCAAAAGAAGCAACAAAGCCCCAGACATGGACAATAATCCTAATAATGACCCACAGCCCAGGCTGTGGTAGGACGTAACGAATGTTTGGAAAGTGCCTCAAATAGGAAAAAAAATGTGCTGTTATTACTGTTCAATATTTATTCTGCTTTCCATGAACCTAAAAATACCACAGAGTATTATTTTTTTTTCCCCCTGTACAGGTTTTTTGGAGTGTGTAATTGTAGAATATTTTCTGCCTCCAGCTATTTTGTTCAAATAACGCCCACAGACTTTACTGCTCAGGGATTTGTTCACAACGGTGTTAAAAAAAAGAAATACATTAAAAAATAAATCAAATACTACCACACAGCAGGGAGAGAGAGGGGGGGGGGAGGGGGCTGAGTCAGATGGTGGCTGTTCAGTGTGGAGAACACCTGGATGTGTAGGACAGAGCAGCCAAAAGCAGCCACATGACTCTTGGGGAAGGAGAGAGGGGGTGGAAGGGACTAAGCAGCAGGGCTGCCAAGCACTCGAGCTGGGGGGTCACCATGGTGCTGCTGCTCCCCCAAAATCTGCCTGTCCTGGGTGATGGCATCAGGTGCTGCAGCAGCTCACTCACTGGGGAGGCTCCAGATCCTGAGCACTCATTGCTGGAGATGCTTTGTCAAATCCTCAGCGTGGGGTTTAGTCACTGCAGAACCCAGCCCGCCCCGTGGCACGTGTGGAGCTGAGGGTTTGAGCTCACATGCTGCTCATTTAGCAGCTGGAGCCTGGAAAACTCACACCTTCTCACTCTCTACAGGCTTCCCATCATCTGGTAAGTCATTGCAGGTCCCTAAGAGTGAGATCCCAAGCAGACCAAACCTCTGCAAAGGGCTGAGGTGGATGGATGGTGGGCTGCAGGGATCACCACTGATCCATCCCTGCAGCAAGGGCAGAAGGGTTGATCCCCAGGTCCCTCAGGCATGAACTTGGTCTCAGGGAGCTGCTAGGGAGCTGGAGATGGGGGGTCATTTCTAAAACTGAAATGCCCATGAAACAAAGGGGTGAAAATTTGAAAGCAGCCACCACAAAGGATACCCAGCTGAGTCCCCAAGGCCGTTATCTCTGAGGGTACACAGTTGGGAAAGCAGCTGTGGAGCTGAACTGAACAAGCCTGTGGCAACTCCCCGAGGGCAGGTGGTCCTGCAGCTCCCAAACAAGTTGTTCCACCCACAGGACCTTCCAGGGCACCATGTCAGACTGAAGCAATAGCAGGCAGGCACAAGGCTGGCTGCTGTGCATGATGCTGGACGTGCTGGTCCAGCCTGTCCCTGCGAGAGGGACCCTGCATCCCAGCCCCTGTGCTCACCTGCATCCCAATGATTGCGTAGATGAAGAAAAGCATGGCAATCAAGAGGCAGACATAGGGGAGAGCCTGCAAGAGAAGTAGACAAGTCATCTCCTTTAGCACAAGTCCAGCTTCAGAGGAGAACAAGAAGCACAGGGAGCAGGTAAGCTGTGCCAGTCCTGTTGGAGAGAGTCCAGGGGAGGAGGCCACAAAGATGATCAGAGGGTTGGAGCATGTCTCCTATGGAGACAGACTGAAAGATTTGGGGGTTTTCAGCCTAGGGAAGAGAAGGCTCTGGGGAGACCTTAGAGCTCCTTCCAGTACTTGGAGGGGCTACAGGAAAGCTGGGGAAGGACCCTTTACAAGGACAGGGAGCGACAGGAGGGGGAAACAGTATTAAGCTGGAAGAGGGGAGATTTAGATTAGATATTGGAAGACATTCTTTCCTGTGAGGATGGTGAGACACTGGAAGAGATTGCCTAGAGGAGTTGTGGCTGCCCCATCCCTGGAAGTGTTGAAGGGCAGGTTGGATGGGACTTGGAGCAACCTGGTCTAGTGGGAGGTGCCCTGCTCATGGCACAGGGGTTGGAGCTAGATGATCTTTAAGTTCCCTTCCAACCCAAACTATTCTATGACTCATCTCTCCTAAGAGGCAACAAGTCAGCAAGACCTTGGGAGCAGAACAGCCTGCCTTTGGGACCAGCACCCCAGCACCATGGCCAGGCAGGTAGACCATAGCACCTGTGCCTCACCTTGAAGGACTGCACGAAGGTCCAGAGCAGGATGCGGATGGTGTAACCCTGGCGCAGGAGCTTGATGAGCCGAGCAGCCCGGAAAAGCTTCAGGAAGCTCATGTTGAAGCTGCTGGTGTTCACCAGCTGGGAGGAGATGAGAGGGTCATCAGAGGGAGGTGGGAGCCCCCAAACCCTGCAGTGGCTCGTCCCACTGCTCCCAGCCCCTGCTTCACCTTGGTGTCCGTCAGGATAATCTCTGTGATGCTGCCAATGACAGTGATGAAGTCAAAGATGTTCCAGGTGTCCCGGAAATAGTTCTGCAAAAGGCAGGAGAGAGGGAACATGGGTATGAGCAGGTCTGAAGGGTGCTAGGCCACAGACCAAGGCTGCTCATGGGCAACAGTGGCAGAGACCTTGCTGCCCATTTGTATGCAGCCAGGGTCTGGAGCATCATCCTATGTCTGAGACAGTGGCAGATCTGAGCGTGTCTGCAATGAGGAGCTTCTCCTGGGAGATGACTCACACATCCAACAGGCCCCCTTGGTGGATGGGAGTGGGAAAAGCAGCCACAGCAAGCCCTGGTCATCAGGCTGCAAGGACTCATCCTGCTGACCCTCACAATTCAAATCTTAAATGAGTAGCTGGAAACTTGAGGACTGGGAATTAGGCAGGAAGTTCTCACTGCTGGTCAGGTCTGGTCAACAGCCCAAGGACAGGAATGTACCAGCATCTCCTGGCTCCCAGGAACAAGGGACTGCAGCCACCAGCATGATCACATTTGGCTTTAGCAGAACAACTGCACAGCACACACATGGTCCAGCCACCAAATCCCACAGAAACAAGGCAAAAAGAAAAGCAACTGTGTGGCTTCCCCTCCCAACATCAGCAGTGGGAAGTTCATTGAGAAGCAAAGCAATGACTCCAACATAAAAGCACCTCTCAGACTGGGACCCAAAATAAACAGCAACCATCTCACATCATTAACACCTTCCCTCTGTGACCTGCGTGCTGCCAAAGTCCAAATTAAGTCCTCATCAAGAACAGGAGCAGCCACTCACCAAGAAGCCAAAAGCAATGATCTTGAGGACGCACTCCAAGGAGAACACCATGGTGAAGGCGATGTTCAGGTACTTCAGGGCCAGCTCATAGGTGTATGGAGCTGAGTAGTACTGATGGAAAGAGAGAGATATCACTAGCCAGGAGGGGGCCTGCAGGCCTCTAGGCTGATGACTGTCCCAGGAAAGACCTGCCATGGACCATGCTCCTTGCCCTGGGTGCCTTCAAGACCACCCCACTCCTTTCCCTCTCCACCCCTCTCCCTGGGCAGCTGCCACTACCTCTAAGAACGAAGCACAGAGCAAACCCAGATCTGTCTGCAGATCCAGATCATCTGGGTCACCTATTTTAGGGGACCATCTTGCCTCCAGTTTGGGGCATGTGGTGTTTCATGTGACATTGCCAGGGGAATACATACTCAGACTGTCTCAAAACATCTCCTGGAAACAACCCAGATACTCTCTGGTCCCATCCTGACCGATCCTCCTTCTCCCCACGACCCCAGACAGAACAGGCTCACACTGACCAGCTTACCTTCATCATCAGCACCACAGTGTTCAGTGCTATCATGGCCATGATGGTGTACTCGAAGGATGGGGAGACCACAAAGTGCCAGACACGGTACTGGAAGGTGTGTCTGTTCTGGGGCATGTACCGCGTGAGGGGCTTGGCACTGATGGCAAAGTCAATACAGGCTCTCTGCAAAACAACAACATGCTTCAGACTCTGGCCAATGGTAACATGAAGGACTGTGGTTGTCATACTTCTTGGCTGGACAGGCAAGGTGGCTGGGACTCATACTTCTTGGCTGGACAGGCAAGGTGGCTCATGAGTTCCTTATACCTTTTCAACATCTAGGGAGCTCCAAGCTCCCAAACTGAAGAAAAGCCATGAAAACATCCTCTCTCACCCTCCCCAAACCATACCTCGTTCTTCTCCAGACTGCACTCCTCCATCATTTTGTCTCCTTGCTCTTGGAACGTAATGATGATGAGAGCCACGAAGATGTTGACAAAGAAGAAAGGGAAGACCACAAAGTAGACAACATAAAAAATCGACATCTCCATGCGGTTGCTGCGGCTGGGCCCACGGTCCTCCTCAGTCACATCCACTGAATGCTGCAGCACCCTGTGGGGCAGACAGGTGGAGAAAAGCAACCAGAGACATGCCCATCAGGACAGCCACCATGCAGCACTTCTCACGGGACCCACAGCTCTGTCTGTCCATGCTTGTGACAATCATACTATAAAGCTTTGTCTTAATCTCCTTTACAAGGACGACTCTTCTAGGTGGCTACAACTTGTTTTATGGTGCTTTGCCTGCACCCCTGATGGGAAATGGATTTTTCTGTGTTCTACAGACAGAAAAAAAATTCCTCAAGCTCACACCATCATGGACAGAGGTCTTGTCCTCCTCTCTAAAATGGACTGAAAATATAGTTCAGGCCGCACAGAAGAAGGGATTATCCATCGTATCCATCCCTAAGGAAGAAGCTAACCCCAGCCATGGTCCCAGCCTCACAGAGGAGCTAGAAGTTCTTTTGTCCTTCATCATTTCTCATTCTTCCTCTCCCACTCCCTGCCCAGCAGTTCCTCTCACAGCCCTTCCTGGGTGCAGCCAGTTATTAAAGCCACGACCCCGGTGGGGATCTGATCACCTCCATCTGAGGGGATGGGCAGAGCAGAATACTCACTGGGGCCAGCCCTCTCCAGTGGACACTGTGAACAGGGTGAGCAAAGCCCAGATGATATTGTCGTAGTGAAACTCGTGGCGTTTCCATTCCCGGCACTTCACCTCCATCTTGTTCTTCTCGTGGTCCACGTAGTTCCCTCTGTAAAGTTGGGAGAGAAAGGTGACCTCGCTTTTTATGCTGCCAGACTGGGAGATGGTGGCTTTAAACCCTGGGGATGGTGTGGTTGTGTGGTGGGGGGGGAGGCACCTCTCCTCCCGCAAGGCTGGAGGGAGAAGTGGGGAGAGACTGGGTAATAAATTGGGAGGAAGAGTGAAGAGCAGAAGGGAGGAGAGAAGGAGGAAAGGACAGCAGCAAAATATGGGGCTCTGCATCCTGCACCCCGTGCAGTGCTGTCACAGCAAGGAGGACAGGGCTCAGCCCATGCCATCCACCCCAAGGAACTATGTCCAAGAGTGAGTCCTGCCCAAGGTTTTATCTGGGAACCACAGAAGGCATTACCCACCACCCTGCCTTTGCCAGAGGTGTCAGCAGCATTTGACCTACTGGACTGGGCACCTACATGCAGTCCTTCTGTGTGTCCTTAGAGCTGTCAGTGCAGTAGAAGAACTTCCCCTTGAAGAGCTGGACAGCAATGACAGCAAAAATGAACATGAAGAGCTTGTAGACGATGAGGATGTTGAAGACGTTCTTGAGGGAAGTCACAACACAGTCAAAGACGGCCTGGAGGAGAGGGCATAGCTCACCTTGGGGAACCCATGGTCTTGGGAAAAGGCAGGACCAACACCAGACTACCATGTAGAAAGACATTTCCCACTCCTGGTGGGAAAAGGAGGACAGAGCTGGGCCTTCTCCTGGGCAAAAACCTACTTTATGGATGAGTTTAACACCCAGAGTGGCCCCCAGCACACAGGCAGACACCAAGCAGCCCCTGAGACAGCAGCAGAGATGGGTGTTTATAACCTGAAAGTTCCTGCAACCAGGGCAGCAGACAGGGGATGGCCCCGTGATGCAATGAGCAGCACTCAAGACCAATTAGTAAACACCTCATTGTTTTGTGCCACCCCCAATAACAAGGCAGAGCAAATCCCTCCCAGACTGTGTTCTCAGCCCAAGTTCTCACAACACTCTGAGAGAGGGGAATATCCCTGTCCCAGCTCCATGCTGGAGACAGAGGTGTCCAGAAATGAACTGACATAGGCTGAATTCATCCAGTGATCAGGAAAAGCTGGGGTCAAACCCTCTATCACTGGGGTCTCATCCTTCAGCTAAATAAACTCTTCTAAGAAAAAAACCAAACACAACAAACTAGCAAGAGACCTTCCTTGGTCTCTTTTTCCTCTGGGGATCTATTTCCCATCAGCACAGGTAGGGAAATCCACAACCCCACCTGTGCTGCACAAACAATCCCACTATTGAGCTGGGAAATCCACTTCCAGTGCTGCACCATGACAGCAGAGCACACCAAACTGGGAGATGTTTGCAAGCTGCTCTGGTGGGGAAGGTGGTGAATTTTGGAAAGAGGATCCTCCCAAAGCTGGGGCAGACTCATTTTTCAGGAGAGCATCTGGGCTTTGCTGCTTCATGTCCACCCCAGCCCCAATTTCCCTGGCCCCTAAGAGATCCAGGCTTGTTTTTACCAACTCATTGCACCTCCAGGTGTGAAGCAGCCTGGAGGACATTCTGCTTGAGAACAGGGCTCCAAAACACAGCAAGGCTTTGAAAGCTACTCGATCGTTGCTCCTGAGCAAATCAACACGTGTGGTTCCTGCACTAACTGGTCCGTGCTGGAGACAACAGGCATCAGGCAGGAGATGGGGATCATTACCTTCAGCTTGGGCAGTCGCTTGATGGTTTTCAGGGGCCTCAAGACCCGCAGCACACGGAGAGACTTGATGGTCTTGATATCCCGGCCCTTGTTGCTCCTGTCAGGTTGGAGGAAAGAACAGAAACCAAGACATGAAACAGAGAGATAATAACCTTGCAGATCTGGGGCTGGATGGTCAGAGTGTCCTGAACACCTGACAACCTCCCCCACTCCCCCCCCAGCCTGCCTGAGGACAGGAATAGGTGGGTGATGTGCATTATGGGGTCCAGCCATCACAAACATATGACCACTGAGTGCTCAACCCACCTAAACCAGTCTCCTCCAACACCCACACTGGCTGCCATGAAAAATAAGCAAGCATCTGCTCTGTGCTTGGTTTGTTCACACAAATGCTGTTTCTTAACAGTTTTTTGCCTTGTTCCATCAGTGCTACCCAACCCGGTCATCCTGGTCCTCTGTCTCACATGGGTGTGATGTCTCAGTCCTCTCCAGATCAGGGCTGCACTTGCCTCCAACCCAAACCAGCTGAGGGAGGCAGACCTTGCTAGTAGAACTACTCAGAAAAGCCCCCTGGTGACCCTTCTTTCTTCAATATGATGATTAATCCCAACCACAATACCAGGTGTTGGGTGTTTTTTTTTTACTCAGAAAAGCCCCCTGGTGACCCTTCTTTTTTCAAATGATGATTAATCCCAACCACAATACCAGGTGTTGGGTGTTTTTTTTTTACCGTGGGCTTTTTAACTAAAGCCCATGGGCTGGATTCCAGGCTGGAGCAGAGAGTTCCTGGTGAAGGTCAGCCCAGTTTGGATCCACCAGGCACCCTCAGAAAAACGTCAAGGAAATGACTTACAGCAACAGATGCTCCAAATTACACAGCTCCTCTGCGAGGGTTAATGCAACAGGGAGCACAATAATGGGCTTAATCATTCAGGGATGTAAACAAAACCACTAATTAATAGCCCTCCCTAGGAGCACAGCCCCACAGATGCATGAGAATGAACTGTATGAACAGCCCTGGGACTCACTTTGCACCTCCCATCTCCTGCTTTGCTCAATGTCAGGGCCTGGGTAAGTGTCTGAGGCATCTGATGGGGGCCTGGGGTGAGGATCTGAGGGCAGCACACTGCTGGTGCAAGCTGCCACCAAGGGCAGCTGAGGAGGGAACCTCTTCAAGAGCTCAGGAAACATCCTGTGGATTTGCTTAGGAACCATATGGGACACAGAGCTGGACAACTCCTGGAGGAAAGCCTGGCTTTGCTGTGTCTTGAGCCAAGGTTGAGCTCTTCCCAGCCCCCTAAGCTTGGCGTGACTGATGTCCCATGTCCTCAGAGGACATCAGGTGCTGAAGTCCCTGCAGCACTTCAGTACTTCTCCCCCGACCCCCTCGGGATGACCCGAACGCCATAGTTACCCCAAAGCATTCCTGTCAGTGCTCCAGAACAGCAGCCACCAAAGAGCATCCAGGGAAAAAAAAAAAAAAGGAAAGAAAGGAAGAATGTAAGAAATGCATCAGGGAAGCCACATGGAGATGAAGGCAGCCCCTTGTGCAGCCAGGACCCTGTGGCAGCCCTCCATCACCCCACGCCTGTGTTGGAAGGCATGATGAGTAGACCATGTTGTCCTCCAGGATGGGGCTTTTCTCCAGGGAAAGACTCACCCAGCAAGCCAGGAGCCCCTGCCTTCCCCACTGGAGCTTTTGGGAGGTGGGTACATAGTAAAACTTCTGCTGCAAAAGGAACCCGTGGAGAGTAGGATGGTGGGTGACAGAGGGTGGGCACTTGGTCCTCCTTGGCCAGGAATCAGGGAGGGACCTTGAGGCTCAGTCCCAACCAGCCAAAGGCAGGTGCCTCCAAGGGAACCTACCTGCAAAGCCACAGTTCCCATCCAGACAGGTTAACTTCAGTAAATCACCTCCAGCAAGAAGAAATCCACAGATGAAGAGCCTGAGCTGCAGCAGGATCTCCTGCTACCCAGCAGGACACCCACTCAGACAAACCCAGGTGGTCTCCAAGGGCTCTAGTTGTACCCAACCCCCTGCCCCTGATTCAGCTCAGTCCCTGCCACCTGCCCACAGCTGGGCAAGCCCACAAAGTACAACATTTCTTAACAACCATAGAAAGAACCCCAGCCCCTGGGTGGAAGGTGTGTTGCAGAGGTGATAGCTGAACTCTGCAGCACTTCTGAGGTCAGGCACCAGACCCCTGTCCTGACAAGCCTCACACCAGGATATTTAGCAGTGCACGAGGGTCCCTTGTGCTTCCAGACACCAGTGCCAACAAGCACAAGCAGATGCTGCTTGGCAGCTCTGCTGGATTCCTCCGGGTGGAGAAGCTTCTGCTCTTGTCCACCAGGTGAGACAATGAGGGCTACACACTGACTATTCAAACCTTTCCTCCAACCTTTCCACTGCTCAAGCCTTCCTGCAGGCATCCCCACCTCTTGGCAGCTCTGCAAAGCTCCTGATCCTCTGCACACCCTCCTTGGAGGGTGGCTCAGGAGGCAAAAGTGAGCAGGGTCTTTAGTTATGGTTCTGGCTATTTCAGCTAATTTGATTTGGACTCTTTGGAGATTTCAGGTTTTATATTGGGCTTTTTATTTAGGCTGTGCTTGGATTGATGGATTAGCTTTCCATGAGAGGAGCTACAGATGAGGCAAGAAGATGTCTTGCTGGGGATGCATGGGCTCTGAGAGGTCAGTGGACAAGCTGTGATGTCACACAGGGACATGGCTTTATAGGTGGACACTTGCTTATCCTGACAGCTGGCAAATGATGGTAGCACCACTGGACTGGCTCAGAGGCCTCCTGCAGCACCCACAGCTACCCAGGGCTGCCACAGGAAAATCAAACTGCAGAGAGGAGGCAAAAAAAGGGCAGAAAATCCAAATGACACAGCACATCTCAGCACTTCAACTGGAAAGGTGCAGGACCTGGTCGCCAGTTGCTTTCAAGCCACATAAACACACCAGCTACTTCATGGGCATCACTTTGCCCACTTCAGCACTGTGGAGGAGGAGAGGAAGGACATGGCCTTCCCCCTGGCCCCACATCAAAGGGAGAAGGATAGGAGAGGGATTTAAACACCATGGCCAGAGTTTTCCCCTTGAGGCTAGGATGGAGGGAGAGCAGTGGTGGGTTGGGACACGTAGAGCTGGCAAACATCCTGCAGCTCAGTGGGAGCTGAGGGTGGCTGTGCACAGCTCCCAGCTGCCAAGAGGGGAGGCAGGTGTTCTTATAAATGCTTTATAACATCTAAACCCATCAGAAACGGCTGCAGCTCCTTTGTCCCCCTCATCCCTGAAGCCATGAGATGATCTCTTCCAGTGGGAGCCATCAATGGACATGGGGGAGAGGGACAATCCTGCAGGTTTACGTGATAAAGAGCCCTCAGCTATGGCACAGGCAGCACAGTATCTACCCAGGTACAGCTCCAAGAGTGGGCAGGAGATGCAGATGGTTCCTGCAAATGTATGTGGAGATGCAGAGACCTTCTCCATGGGAGGGGGTTCAGTGCCACAGCTGATGGGGGTGCTTGGCCTCAAGAATTCAGCTGCCATGTGCCCCAAGGGACTTGTCCTGCCCTCAGGAGGCTGGATGGAGGCAGGCAGGTGGCCAGTGGGGCTGGAAGGGGCACAGCAGCTTCCTCACACCCTCAGTGCTGACATATGGGGACCCTACCAGCTCCAGGGGCCACCCCAGGAACTGTGACACCTTTGTGGTGTAGGGGAAAGGGGACAGTAAGGATAGTAAGCACTGATTGTGGTACAGTTAGTGGCAGTGAGGACACCCGTCCACCCAGGAGCAGGTTGAGCCATCAACCCACCCTCCTTCAGCAACCAAAAAAGGCTTGATGAAAGATGCTTTGGAAGGCAAAGGCTCTCTGGTCCTCCTCAAACCACCCAGCTCATCTTCAGGCTGCTGATGCCCTTGAGCCTCACCACCAGACATGCTTGGGGGGGCTGTCTTGGCAGAGGGGGGGATCAGCCAGAGCCAGAAGATGATTGATCCATCCTTGTGGTGGCCTACATGGCCCTCAAAGCAGTGTTCCCCAGTCAGGGGACCTTGCCTTGTGCCCCTGCCCCATACAGCCCTACCCAGGGACTGGTTGATCCCTGTGTTAAGCAAGCTGAATTCTTCCATGGAATTCCAGAGGAGAGAGCAGTGACTGAAGGCACTGGGAGAGGACAGGGGTTAGGAGGGTGAGGAAGGAAACAGCAACGAGCCAGGGATGGTGCAAGTGGCTGAGAGCAAGAGGAAGGAGCTGCTGCCCAGCCAAGGGTGGCAAGGGAGGGATAGATGACAGGCTGGGATCCTCCAGTGACCTCAGGGCTCTGACCCAGCCACCCCAGGAGCCTCACACAGCACCTGAGCAATAGGCAAGGACACAGCTCCAGCTCCAGCCTGCACCACTGTCAGGCCCTCCCCTCCCACCAGCACTAAAGCCACCAGTGTCAAACACACAACGAGAGAACAACAGTGTGACAAACCCACAGCATCTCCTCTCTTCTCCCTGCTCGGCCACCAACAGGGCACCCTTGGCCCTCTCTCTGGTGCCAGAGCATCCCTCCCCATGCTCACCCCACACCACCTGTCCCAGCACACCGGAGGGGAGAGCAGCACTAAAGTCATCCCTGGGTGCTTCTCCCCTGCACAGCCTGGGCACCACAGACATGAAGCCACCCTGCAAAGGAGGACCCACCTGCAGGTGCCACAAACTCGGTACCAGAGAGAACTGCAAGGCACTGCTGAGCAGGAACACAGTGCAGAGCAAACAGGCAGCACCCTGCCCTGGGTGTGATGCTGCAGAAGGCGCAGGCACAAACCCCACTGGCCACATCCCCACCCCTGCAGGGCTCCAGGGCAGTGCTCCCCCTTGGAGAAGAGGAAAAGCCACCAGCTGGGGGTACCATTTCCAGCACAAATGTGTCCCAGGGGCAGCACCACCTGGCAGGCTGTGGCTTTTGCTGTCTCTGTGAGCCCCAGGATGTGTAGCAGGTGTATAACTCCAGCTCTGCCACCCTTAGATGTCTCTTTCCTTCTCTAACAGCCCCTTCTGCTCTCTTTCAAGTCCACTTGCACCACCAACCTCTTCCTAAGCATCTCCAGCTTGCCTCATGCCTGCTTGCTCACCAGCATTTGACAAAGGAGGACAAATCCACCTCCAGAGCAGATGTGCACCACTGCCAGGAGCCATCCCAAAAGTGGAGCAAACAGGTACAGAGAAATCCAAGAGATCAGGGTCTAGCAGCCCTCACACACACTTGCACCTTCCTCCCACCCTGGCCAAGAGAAGGCAAAGGGCTGACAAGGACAGTGGTCACTTACGCCAAGGCAAAAGCCACTAGTGCTCCCACCACCACGATGAAATCCAGGATGTTCCAGAGGTCTCGGAAGTAGGAGCCATCCTGCAGGATCAAGCCCTGATCAATCATCTGCAGGGATGGAACAGCAAGGGGGGGAAAAAAAAAACAAACAAAACAAAACAGGCAGGGGATGAGCAGCTCGGCCACCAAGTGGAAGTGGCTGCAGGGGACACTGCTGGGGAGCAGTGGGTCTGTCCCTGCACCCCAGGTGTGTATGGGGGAACATCAAATTTTGGGAGCCTGGAGACTGATAAAAGCAGTGCTGAGCACTCTCCACTTCCACCTCTAGGAACCAGGCTTCAAGGTCTCCTCCACCAGCCAAATTTAGGACCAGAAACAAAGAACTGAGCCATTTCCCACCCACTGCAAGGCTGCTGGGGCACAAACAGCCCCGGTGCCTCCAGCCTGCCAGGGCTCTTACCTTGATAACCATCTCGAAGGTGAAGACGCCGGTGAAGACGTAATCAAAATATCTCAGGACCTGCAGAGAGAGGACACGGGTGCCCTGCAGCTGCTGCCAAGCAGAGGGGCTCACCAGCACCCACCCAGACCCTGCCAGCACCCCACACCAGGGCTCACCTGGAGCAGACAGGGGGGTCAGTTTGCTCCCCCTCCCAAACCCAGACAGTTCCCAAAGAGCTCCGAGCAGCCACAAACCCACCCTGCACAGGCAGGACAGGTATCTTTCCATGCATGGTACCAGCAGTTCCGAAGCCACGCTGCAAAGCTGGGATCGTGCATCCCCACACCAGCCCCTGCCCGCATCAGCATCTCCCCAGCTTCAGCTGATTTACTGTCCACAAAGTGCCCTGCTCTGCTCCCCCAGGCTCCAAACCCCGCGGGTGGGAGGAGGAGAAGCATTTCCAAGGTTTACAAAGGAAGGGGATGGGTGGGAAAGGTCAGGTTCTGCCACCGGCTGCCCTGACCCGTGTGTGTGTCCCCCCCACCAAGAAGGAAAGCTGCCATCCTACAGGACGTCTGGCTGGGGGCTGGGGACAGGGGAGGAACAGGGGAGGTTTGCAAATCACTTTGTTGCGGTCCGAGTTGGTGAGGACGGGATCCTCGGCCGCGAGGGCGATGCTGCTGGCAGCCCACCGAGAAGGAAAGCTGCCATCCTACAGGACGTCTGGCTGGGGGCTGGGGACAGGGGAGGAACAGGGGAGGTTTGCAAATCACTTTGTTGCGGTCCGAGTTGGTGAGGACGGGATCCTCGGCCGCGAGGGCGATGCTGCTGGCGGCGATCACCAGGAGGATGCACATCTCGAAGTAGCGCAGGTTCACGATGTAGTGGCAAGCCCTCCTCACCCTGCGGGGAGACAGGCCCCCCCAAACC